GTGGGAGGCACATATGCAAACTGTTGTAATTCCTACACCGTTCACCTGATTTGGATGTAAATACCCTCAAATTAAAGCTGACAGTCTGCAGTTAAAGCACATCTTGTTCGTTTCATTTGAAATCCATTGTGGTGGTGTATAGAGCCAAAAATGTTAGAATTGTGTCGATGTCCCAATATTTATGGACCTGACTGTATCTTGCACTAACCATTGTATATATTACCTTTTGGAATACCTCTCTTCTTGTCTATTTTATTTTGTATTTGTATCTATTTATGTTTGTCTATTATGCCAAAACCTTGTGAGCTGCTAAGCAGTCTTTTGTTGTTCAAAACAATGACAATAAAATCTTTTCTATTCTATTCTATTCTACTAGAGTACAAGACTTGATTGCTGAGTAGTTTGACACAAAATTTGTAAAGATAAGCCAAACATCCTAGGACTAATTTGCATATTATGAAAATAAGCAAAAAATCTAAGTGGATGGAGCTAAAAAGTTATTGAAGCTTTTTTGTTTTGGAGACTACAAGGAATCAGGAGAAAAAATAATTTTTTTGTAGGGTTCATGGTTCATGAGATACTGTTGAACAAGTTTCATGTCTCTACAACTTACAGTTTGGTATGAACAATTACAATAGGGTTCCAGAACCTTTAGTGCTTGTACCCCTAATAATCCTAACAGAAACAACAGTGCTCTCTGCACCCTTGGTGCTTGGGCCCTAACAAGTAGCACTGCAACTATAGCACCACTTGAAATGTGAGTTAAAATAAAAGTTTTAACCTGGACTCAGTAAAAGGTGATCTACTAATCTGCTGTTGTTCTTTCGGCTGCTCCCGTTTGGGCTCACCACAGAGAATCATTGGTCTGCTTGTTTGATTTGGCACAGGTTTTAAGCCAGATGCCCTTCCTGGCACAACCCTCCCATTTTATTTGTGCTTGGGACCGGCACTGAGAGTACACTCCCAGTAGTTGAGTTGGTTCCCTGCCCAGGAATTGAACCTAGGCTGCGGCGGTGAGAGAGCGGGATCGTTAGCCACTAGACCACCAGGTACACAAAGGTGGTCTATTAATCTAATAAACGATAATCACATTTGTTACGGCAATTAAATACTCAGGACTAAGACCTCATTCGACAGCCCTATTAGCCACAGAAACACTTAGGCCATAACCTCTTCACTGAATCAAACAACAATGCTATGCTTCACATACTTTAAAATACTTTGAAGTTCCACAGAATGGAAAATCTAACCATCTGCATTACAATTATGACAGCAAGCATGAACAGTTTTAATTACATTAATTTTAGTTACATTAAAGAGGTGAAGGGCTGGGTATCTTTGACTTTCAATACCAATACCAAAACGATACCTACAATACAGATACCCAAAACTGTGGAGTAAATTGTTAACTCATGTCATTTTTCAATTTTATTTGTGTAGCACTTTTAACACTGGACAATGTCACAAAGCAGCTTTACAGAAATAAATACTTTCAGGATATAAATTGTAAATGTATGAATTTATCCCTAATGAGCAAGCCAGAGGTGATGGTGGCAAGTAAAAACTCCCTGAGATGATATGGAAGAAATCTTGAGAGGAACCAGACTCAAAAGGGAGCCCATCCTCATCCGGGTGACAATGGATAGTGCAATTATAAATAAATCCCTTCTATAACTGTGTACTACATGGACAAATAGTGCAATTGAACCTATCCACTGTCCACTGATGGAGACCTGAGTGCAAAACTGTTCACGGCAACCAGAGCCCCATAACCACCACAGCAATCGCAGTCCCAAGTCATCTCCATGGTGCATCCCCAGCAAGCCCAATGATCTTCATGCCGTCCATGTGGGGCCACCCCCAGCAGCAGCAAGCGATCTCCAACCGATGAGAACTCCAACCAGAAGGGGTCAGGATCACTGGTATCAGTGATAACAATCTGACTCAGAATTGGTTTGCCCATTTTCTCTTTTTTTTTTTTTTTATGATGTAATATTGTCCAAAGTAATGAAATTATGTACCAAATTTTTTGGTAACTGATAGTATGTTTCAGTCAGTGGCTTCTGGGTACCAATTTTTCATACCCAGCCCTCGAGAAGTAGTAGTTGCCACTTTTAAACCAAGTAGCTCAGGGGTGTCAAATCTTAGGGTCCCTCAGCATGCTGAGGAAGCTTGTTCTCACCGTGCCATAATCTGGAGCACCACTGATTTGTGAGATTGCTGCTAGCATAGTCAAGGAGAACTTGCATATATGGGCCAAAATGGGTTAGCCTCCATTTCCCCTGTATCAGTGCCAAGTGAGGCTTCTCAGCAAAGTTCCCACCTCCAATGGAATAAAGAGCAATAATGCGGGATTCATCCTTGTGTGGGCAATGCCTAAGCTCTCTGGAAACCAAAGACTGGCACAAGTTTTGTACTAGATACCTCTGGCAAAAGAGGCAATTGGCAAAATGGCATTTTTCTGGCTATTCTGCAGTGTAAGGACTACAATGACAGTGTTGAAGCGCTGATTTAGTTAGTCAACATTACTGCTGATGAGCAAGTTAGCCTGGGCCCCATGCCCACCTTTGACACCTTCATCTCTCCCACTTGGTGCTTTCACAAGATGAGGTACAATGCTGAGGATGCATGATGCCAATCACTGAGTGCAGACTCTCAGATGATATTTTGACAAAGGCTTTTGACAAAAGGCACAGGTAACACGCTGGCAATTTTGCTTCTTCCATTACACTGGTCATTTCAGTCGGCAGAAATTGAACCATGACTTGAACCTTCTGTAATCGAACTGAGAAGAAGCCCTAGTTTCTACACTTCTGTCACTCTCTAGCACTGATGAATAAAGGAAGGATATTTCATAGTAGTTTTTTATAAAATGGTGTGATCCAGATGTGAGAACAAGCAGTACATAAAAAGGACTGATTCTGACAGGACAAGACTATTTTTGCTTAGTCTGTTCAAGGGATTTAACTTGTAAATGTGTATTTGAAAGTTTCTGTAATTGCATAATGCTGTCATTTAAGACTCTCTGAGAGATTAGCATAATAAAACATTTTGACAGTGGAATATGTTGTGACCCTAGTATATGGTGATGTTACCACAATCTACAACTCAAGGAAAATATACTTATGAAAGCACATTATTATGTCTTTTTTTGATAGGCTTTTATCATATTATTGTAACATTTTTCAATAATTCTATTGGCACTGCTCTTAAAAAGTTACTTGTTACAAAACTGTTGCATATAGAGCACGGAGTGCCATATGGACGACAACAACAAAAGCAAGCGATCCCTGTAAGCAAAAAGAAGTTATTAAAATTCGTGCACAATGTGGCGACACCTCCTCACACCAATGCCGATCCGTCAAGCAGGTTAGAAGTCATGTTTAGCTACAATAGGATAAAACAGAGCAGCTGCACATTTGCACTGTTTGAACACCAGGAGCCTCATTTATAAAATTTTGCATGGATTCCACAGTGAAAGCATGCATAAGCACCAAAATCAGAAAACTGCATACCCACAAAAAAAATTCAGATTCAGATCCTTGTGTACGCACACCTGCACATTGTTGAATAATGTTAGCACCACAAGCTGTACTATAGCAGAGATTATAAATAAATAAATAAATAGATAGATAGATAGATAGATAGATAGATAGATAGTGTTCTGACCTAAAAGTGGATGCAAAAAAGTGACCACACACAGACTGCGATTGCCGGTGGGGTGGAAGCCTGCACTTTCACCCTCACCATTTGATGTAAGAATGGCTTCGATTATTGGAGAATCCCTCTTATGCGGCATGGTTACCGAAATGGAGGAAGACAGCGCTTTGGCAGATGAGTCCACCACAGAAATCCCAGGTGGAAGACAAATGGATTTAATAGTTAAATATACATAAAGACAAACCACACAAACACTGTAGCCTAAAATAGTTAAATGGACTTAACAGTCACTGTTCATATTCTTAAATAAGATGGCTGGCGTGGACAGTGGTGATGGTGTAGCTGAAGACTGTGGACCCGGCCCCAGCAGCATTTCCGGTGCCCCACATGCCTCTGTTGGAGTCTGTGGAACCCCACATGCTTCCGGCAGCATCTCCAGTGAGCCACGTGCCTAAAACCAGCGGCTGTGTTCTAACAGATGCTGCGTTGCAAACGCACAAAGACACAACTACTGCTATTGTCAGTTTGATAAATGAAATAAAAACAATAAAAGATATGGCAGAAATATTAGTGACATTAAAAAAACATGTAAAAGAATATACCTTTCCACTAGTCTGAGTTATTCACGATCAACGCATAACATCCTCACTCAGTCTCACAGCGTAAAGATTACGCTTGTCTGGTGGCTTAGGTTCTGGGTCATCAGGTTGTTGATATGCGGAGATGAGGAGGGGGAGACCTTTCTGCTGTGCCATGTCATGCAGCACTGCACATGCCCTCACAATGTGTGCAGCACTGCATGTGCCCTCACATTTTCAGGTTAGTGAATGTGTGAAATGGCTTCACAGCTGTTTGCAGGCTATAATTACCCACAATTAATACCAGCCCACAATGAGTTACTAATTTGTTCAGGGAGGGAATGACAAATTGTAGCCTGCAAATAGGCTAGTTATTTGGAGCAATAATTATCAAAACATATACACAGGCAGACCATTTTACACAAAGAAATAACTAAAAAATGTCATAATACTGTTATGCTTCAGTGCTTCTTATGTCCAAGTAGAGTACATGAAGTTAAGGAGCTGCATAATTTGATATGAAGTGCTATGTATGGTAGCAGTGATTTGCACATTTAGCTGTACATCTCATATCTGTACATATCTTCAGGGTGTCCCTAATTCCTGCTGTTTATAAAAATGTTGTGGATGGCTGCATACATGGGTCAAAGCTTCTGCAAAACCACACTCAATTTCCCGCCAAGAATTTCTTTAAAATCCCAGTTTCTGTGTTGGATTCTGTGTACACACACTTCAGATCCATTTTTGTGTACGCACATTTTATAAATGAGGCCCCAGAGGTCCCAATCTGCGCAACCCATAGAGTTAAAATATACAGAGTGCACTCTGGTCATGTGATTGCATTCTTTCTTGAAGAGAGATCTACACTTGTGAAGACTGACAGCCTGAAAACTCCATATTGCAATAACCAACATGAATTATACATTAGCTTATATGGTTACATGACCACATTATAACAGTTAAAAAGAGCTCTTTCAAACAACAAAGTAGCTTTCAAACAACACAGAAGGCCATGGAAATCAAGTATTTTTGCTAACTTTGGAGCTCTGCTTCTCTGCTTTGGAGCTTTTGCTACATACACTATATTACCAAAAGTATTCGGTCACCTGCCTTGACTCACATATGAACTTAAGTGCCATCCCATTCCTAACCCATAGGGTTCAATATGATGTCGGTCCACCTTTTGCAGCTATTACAGCTTCAACTCTTCTGGGAAGGCTGTCCACAAGGTTGAGGAGTGTGTTTATAGGAATTTTTGACCATTCTTCCA